AACTAGTGAGAGATACACGATTGTAAAGAAACTAACTATAAGTTCTTTATAATCGTGGAGAGATATTATTAATCTTTTTAAACTATATAAAGTATTATCATTGTCCAATTTCAGTCATGGCCTATTTATTCATCAAATATAAAATAGGTATATAGGTAATATAATATGTTGCCACTTGCCGAGCAAACAGTTATTAGTATGACTTATTGTCAATTTTATCGTTTTTAACAAATTATAAATAAAAACCATCAGCACAATAAACAATAAAATTGAATTTGTTAAATGTTTCATTAATATCCTTTACTCACCTACCCGAAAATGCTGTTACTTTGCCAATTTAACTAATTATTGTGTACCTACTAAAAAATAAGTGTATATATCGACTAAAATTGTTTTATCATATACTTTATATAATAATATTTCATAATAAATTTTGCTAAATAAGTTTTAAGAGGTGTAAGAAGCATTTTTATATCAATATGATAGAAGTAATAGGTAGTTTAAAAAAACAAATAATATTATTTTGTTCATCAATTTTGGAAAAAAAACAATTAGCCCGTAAGTAAAAAATCAATAAAATATCAAGTAGGTAGGTATAGTTAATAGGTATTCATTTTAATGAGTTAAAATATAGGTTAGTAGGTACTGCAGTTAAAATATAATATAGGTAGGTACCTATAAAAAAAGGTTAGGTTAGATTAGGTATCTACAAAACAACTTATAATTAATTCACACAATAAAATTAGCCTAACTAAAGTTTATTTTGTATTAAACTATAACATTGGTACCTACCTAAAGTAGGTATACTATTTCGTTCTCATTTTTATAGTCTGATAAAATATTTTAATCGCTTAGGATTTACTGTTTGTTATGGCATGTATCATAAATTATTATTATTATAGGTAGCAAACTCGATTTTACACTATCATACAATTTGCAATCATTACCTACTCATTATTGTACCATGTACATTCATATTTATATACAAAGGATTCTAACACCATTATAGTTATAAAATAAAATAATTCATCATGCGTTTTTTTATGCCTATTTGTATAATCAACGACCTATATTTAATATTTATAATATTTTTTTAGGTTCCTAGGTACTAAATTATATTATTACGTTATATTAATACATTATTATTAATTATTATCATCATGGCTTATTGCGCTTTTCATTTTTTCTTTTTTAATAAAAATGAAAAACAACAATGACATTTAAATTTTAAATCATAATCGTAATATGTAAGTGCCTTTGTGTAGTCGTATTGTTTTTGCGAATAATGGTTGTAATTTAATATTGTTTATCAAACATTATAATAATGGATCAACGGGTATATTTGTAAATTGCAAATTGTAATCAAAGTTTAGTGGCACATTGAACGTTATGGAAAACACAATATTTCATTGTTGCGTGTGCGTATATTTTATTTGGGTATTTTTAAGCAGTCAAGCATATCAATTTACGCTGTGTTATTATTTTTAAAGTTGTATAACTCGTATTAATATTATTATTATTATTATTATCATTATTATTATTATTATTATTATTATTGTTATAATATATGTCTATAGTGGCATTTGCATAATGATTTAAATTTTTGTTAGTTCGTTTCTATTATATTATGGCAATTATTAATTTTTTTTCTGTTTGCATTGTTCTTTTCTTATAAAATATTATTTTAGAAAATGAAAAAGAACGTTATTGCTAATTGCTAATCGTACTCATGAAATATTGATACATTTTATATTGTCAATATAATATAATTAGGTAATATACTAATAATATATTATGTAATATTACAAAATATTATATTATTATTTATTATACATAATTAAACGTCAAATTGTATAGTTTACTGTTTTAACAGATAATATTTATAATATTTTAACATATTCAGTAGTCTTAGATTCAATTTATATAAAATTTATAAATGTACCTATATAATATAAATAAAATATATGACTTTAGCTGAGTTTAGATTTAATATAATATTTAATTTAATATCAATTTTAATTTTCTTTAAACATAGCATAGCTACATAATTTGTAGTTTTTTCTTAACTAAAAATAGTTTTAAAGTATTTTTTTGGCATTTGTTATTTTATACACAGGTACTCATTTTTCTTGTAATAAAAAAATATATACATATAGATATTTATACTATTATATAATATATTTGATACACAAATATTTTATGGTTTTATTATGAGTAGGTAGTGACCAATAACAGCATAGCATCTAAGCACCACCTACCTAAACTTTAAAACGTACATTACATACCAACTATTTTTATATTTAATTGAAATCAGTGACTTAAATATTTACCTACTAGAAATAACTTTAAATGCAAATTATTAATAAACTATAAAACTATGATGTTGAGGATGTCGGATTCTTTTCTGTTTAAAAAAAAAAAAAAAAATTATAATCAAGTTTATAAATGAATGATTATTCGGAGGTGTAAATGTGTAATATATCAAAATGATTAAAATTAAACTAGGTAAACTAAGATGGTTGGTGTAAGAAATGGCTTTTTTAGGATATATTTAGTTAATGAATTATTATGAATTTTAAAAGTACCAACCAATACTTACACCAAATGACACAACACACTTTATTATATACCTGAAATACAGGCATTAGGCATAGTATAGTCCAATTATTTTATTTGCATAAGAATTTTTAAAATATTATTACATTTTCTTAGTATGTATAGTAGACAGTTACAGTAGTTATGTACATACATTTAATAAGGTATTACCATATTTTACTATCATAAATCATAAACCAGTCCTAAATTTTTAGTAGTGTAACTTAATATATGTGAACTAGAAAGGTCTGTAAAAAAATTGTATATATGTGGGTATTTTATAGTGTTTTAGGTTTCTGTAACAATAATTTATAAGGAACCATGTATTTATTTTTCAAGCAAAGCTATTAAAATTGATAATTTTACGCATTCTAATTTATGAGAAACCTTGTAATACATTTTTAAACTTTTTACTCACAAGCATTTTCTGATAATAAATTCTAAAAATCTAAAAAAAGTTAAGTATTTAAAATGTCTATAAATAACACAATAAGTGTCAAAAGATTTTAAATTGTTGAAATTAATGTAATGTCTAGAAAATGTAAATTATAAATATTTGGTGATTATTCAAGTCTCTACAGTTATTCATTTTTGAATCACAACCAAAACTAGTATTACGTCAAAATCCCTTTGTCTTTAGCACTATGATATATTTTTATTAAAAAAAAATAAATACTTTATCTGTAATTCCAAAGTACCGAATATCTGATTTTCTAACAAAAACCACCCTCATAGTTGAAGATTGAAGCATTTTTACTACTCCAAAAGCTGGTGACAAACATAAAAAAAATACCATTGTAAAATCAATACATTCAACAGTACGCTCACAATCTAAAACCAAACTTAATCTTTTTTTTTTTTATTAGATAAAAATAAGTATTTACAATCTGTAATATTTATATAAAACAATAAGTAAATTGGGACGAGGTGGCCGAGCGGTCGGACACGTCGTCTGCGGCGCTGGCGGTCGCGGGTTCGATCCTCTCGACCACTGGGCGGTATTTTTCTCCGGGCAAGTCACGGTGTCCGGAGAACAAGTGCCGCCATCCCCCACTCCGGGGCATGGCAGAAACCTACGGGTGCCCCATTCAAAATTCTGCCAAACCCAACACACACGTGTTCCTCCCCCTACCGACATAACCACACAAAAATAAACCACTAACACCCAATGGCCTATGTTGCCGCGGGTTATCCAATAAAAAAAAAAAAAAAAAAAAAATAAGTAAATTTGATAACAAAGAATTTAAAAAACATGAATAGCGTGAGGAGGGAGGCCCACCAGTGTGGATATCCTCTAACTTGGGGTAGGGAGTTTTATTTTATTTTTAATTAGTGCAAGTCGGGATTCAGGAGATCTCGACACCAGTGTCTTTTTAATCAACATGGGGGGTTATTTGGCATGAATTCACTGGCTAAGTTAGAAATCAAAGGATTTGTGTGGTAAAATGTGTTGGTATGGATATTTTTATAGTAATTTTTAGCTGTTTTAGAGACTGTTTCAATTTTAAGATCTTTATGTAGCGAGAGGTTTGAGACGTACCATGTTATTTGGTGAAGGGAAATAGACTGGAAAACTTGTATAGTCCGTATTTGGGAAGGCTTGGCACATCCCCATATTTGGATGCCATAGGCCCAGATAGGTTTTAACATTGATTTATATATTAATAATTTGTTGTCAAAAGAGAGTTTGGACTTGAGGATAGGCCTTAATAGATGAAGTCTGGTGTTAAGAGCCTTTCTTTTAATTTTTAAGTCTGGGCCCCAGGTTAGACGCTTGTCTAAAATTAGACCTACCTAAGTATTTGGTTTGAGTTGTGGTTTGGATTGGATTGTTTTGAAAAAAGTTTGTAGGTAGAACAGCTTTTCTTAAAGTAGAAGGAATGTGAAAAGATGTATCTGTATTGATTTTAATTCTCCATTTAACTTAATCTTAATTTAATAATTTGGTTAAATTTATAAAAATTTATAACAATTTATATCAATTTATAAAAATGTGATGATTGTGACAATACAAAATTATCTCACTAAAAAAAAATCATACCAAAACTAAAGCTCTACAACAATAAATATTATTTATCTACTCAAGTACAGGACAAATTCTCAATTTCCCAATACTTACACAAAAAAAGTACACAAATATTAAATTAAATTTGTATTTGTTTTCTCAACATAATTATTCTGCACTATTCTTACTATAATTTCTTAAACTTCATTTAAAATTGGTGAACAAGGCTTATACAAAATAAATAAATTACAAACAAAATATTTTCATTTGGATATTTCAAATTGAAACTAACAGTATTGTATTGGTATCATTATTATAGATGACCATAAAAAAAAAATATCTTTGACCAAATTAATAAAATATTTACCTAATATTTATGGCATTCATTTTTTTTTACAAATTAAATATCGTAATCATTATCATATCGAAATTGACCATTGTTCAAAGTGGTAATTCCCAAGCCATATAAATGACCACAGTATTTTTTACTGTCAATCATTCCCTCGAAGTACATATCTCTGATTTTGAAAAAAGCCATACCTGTTAATAAGGAATCGCTACCAGCCTGATGTTGAGGTCCAATGCGCTTTAATTCTAGCTGATCGGCAACCTCTTGCAGACCGCCCTTTAAGTTTTTACAGCTCTTCATTAGGTACTTAATGTCATACACGCATGGAAAGTATAGAGAAAACATCTCAAAAAATTCGGACTCTTCCTGCGGTAGTTTTTCATCAGTCAACACTTTAACTAAGTAACCAAAATCAAAACTACTGTGGAATGTCATCCATTTTAAATTATCCATCAATACTAAGCCTGATGTTATTATAAATTCAGCAAAAACTATCGGTTCGATTCCATTCTCTTCATGATTTTTAAATTGGATTCTATGAAACAAAAATGAATTTTAAGATATAGGTACTACATGACAATTGCAACATTAAAATAAATTTATCAGTTACCTGGAATTTGTCAATAGTTCTATACTGTCTTGAGCGTACATGTCTTCTGACAAATTAAATTTAAAATTGAACTGCCATGTCGTATATTGGCCGGTTGGTGTTTTACCGTCTTCATCAAAAAACGAAAGCCCTAATTGAATAATTCTCAAAAGATCTACATTGCATCGCAACAACTGATAAAGATAATCAGCAGCTGTCTTGAAATCACCGATTGGTCGGGCTACGACTCCGGGAAATTCTGTGTCCATGGCTACATAACAATATTTTGGCAATAATTTTCGTATCGATGCAAATTCTTCTTCTAAATTATGAGCCCACACGTCCTTTATACCACAATCTGACCGTATATATGTCTGTTGTTCTGGATCTTGTTCATCTACTCCAGTGTTAGGTGTTAGATTATTATCAGACATATCAATAGTGGTTTTGCTTTACCTGTGTAATATATGTACATAATATAAGACTTAGGAATTATTTTTAATTTATACATTTGTGCCTGTTAGAACATTCGGTAGGTTGTAGGTTCCAACAATATTCTATAAATGAACAGAAACATGAACTACACAATGTTCTCTGTATGACCATTATAGGTACCATTGTTAGGGCATATTTTGTTTAATAAATCAACAAACAGTTATAAAATAAATCTAATTTAAAAATAAAGAACCTTTATGTACCTCATGCTCATGTATATTTTCGATTGTACCATAGATTTATTATTAACATATTATTCTAGTGTTGGATAAAAAAATAAAAAGTTCTGTAAGTACCTAAGTAAAAAAATTTTATTTGATAAGAATAATAATGTACCTACCTATATTTTTTAATATTGATACATCTTTTTAAGTTTATTCCCAAATAAATAGGTATTTTATTTTTAAAAACTAACTGTACAGTGTACTATTATATTAATAAAATAATTTATTAATAGAATTAGAATACTTGCATGGGTATATACATTATTGTATTATACTTGTAAGTATGAATTAAATTATTCAAGAAGAATTAAGTTGTATCTACATAGTTTATACCACAACCACAATGTAAATCAAATGTATCCACCAGTGGCGCCAAAGTCCATGTTTATGCATGGCAGCTACCAAACATATAAACATTTAGCTGGGGGGTGGGTCCATAGGAGAATAAAATTATGAAAATTTATAGGAATAGGATCACAAATTATTAAGTATAATATTGCCCATTGAGAGTAATAACAATATGAATATTGTATACATAATATTATAATATAATATAAAAGGTTGCATTTTGTTTATATTTTTGTATTTTGTACTATCTTTGCAGGTAATTAAATATAATTTTAATATTATTACATACGTAATGGTTGAAAAAAGAAGAGAAATCTAATCAAAAATAAAACAAAAGTTGGTGGCAAATTGTTTGTAAGAGGTTACAAATTTTCTTTTTGGGTTTTGTGGGGTGGAGGTGGGTGATTGTCGGAGATCCTTGACATACATTTAAATTTGTACTTCAGCGCCACTGGTATCCACATCATTTTTTTATTTGCATTGTGCTATACACCTAAATTATAATGTATAATAATATATCAGTCATGTTATAATTTAAAAATTTGATAAGCATTAAAAACAATAAAAACTAGGTAGAACAATAGAAACTGTACCTAACAAGCTTACATATTGGGGAGTGACATGTCACATTGTCCTACTTTAGTACTTAAGCTAAAATTCAATTAAAAAATATGTTTACCTAGATTTATTTTTATCTTAATAAGATTATCTGAACACTGAATTATGAGAATATTGATTATGTTTAGTGACATGGCGAAGGGAGTAATTGAGAGACAACTGCCACTGAGTTTTTTAAGGGATGGTAATGGCCATAAGTCAAGTAATAATTTAGTGTTAACTACAGTACCTATCTTAGTAGTAACTATGACAGGTAGTTACAGGGCCGGATTGGTATGTATAAGCCCATCGAGCTTTTCTCTTTTAAGCGGCCCATTTACATATTCAGTAGCCCAAAATGATGTCTAAAATTATTATGAGCTTATAGGTGGTTAATCGTATTTTAAACATGAATTTACTTTCACCCACACTCACACGACCAGCCCAAACTTTAAGCAGCCCACCAAGATTTGATCGGTAGCTCATCTAACCCATCTGGCCCTAGGTAGTTAAAAATATTACAGTGAATGCCTTTATTGGGCTATTGGTGCAGAAAGGTGGGTTACATATTAGTAGGCACTAGGCTCTAAAAAATTTGCCCTGCCACTGATTATGTCATCATATAAAATCAATAGTTTTCCAAGCTGGTAAATAACGTTTTTCACCCTGCAAATGTGAAAAAGTGTAACCATTGATTACATAAATTATATAAATATAATGGTTTAAATGGTAGCCCCCAGCCAATAGGCACCTTTAACATTTTATTTAAAAAAAAAAAAAATATAATTGTGTAAAATATAAAATAACTATTTTAAAACAGCCAATAATAAACACAGAAACACTAACCGACTCTAAATAAGTGCTCTGAAAAATTTTCCCCAATAATAATATGTAAGAATTTAAAATTTGGTATTTTTATCATGTTGCCAAGTGACACAACTATAGCGATGCAAGGGGGTGCTGAAGCACCCCAAGTTCCTTATCTTTATAATTTAAAACACCTACCTAGTTTTAATGAAAGTAATTTTATTTTTAAGAATTTGTGATTAGTTCATATTATTGTATATTGCATTTCAATAATTGTACTATATTAAACTCCATTACCTATCCTCGAGAGTCCAACTACATGTAAACGAGGTTTAAAATGCAAAGAAGCAGAAGTAAGGTACAGCAATATTTTACCAACTTAAGTATCATGAAGTATAAAACATATCGAAAGAGATTTGGTTAATGAAATTGACACAGAAAAAATATTATACACAATTGCTGACAATTCACAGAACAGTTTTAAATTTATTTTATATAATTTTATATTATATAAATTGAATTATAACATTTTTTGAATAATAGTATGTTAATAATATCATATTAATAGTTAAAATTAAATATTGACAATGTGTAATGTTGGGTGGAGTGAGCATTACATAATATTGTAGTAGGTACTCCCAATATTTTAACTCTGGTTGCTCCACAAGTATTACCTATTTAAACTTTGAAGGAACTACCTAGGACCTCTACTCAACGTATACCTAGTGGCTAGTACTTAGATAATGAAACATGGCATTAATATCAAAGAACATTGTTTAATGATTCATCTACCAAAATAGTTAATACTAACTACATAATATTATAATAAAATAACAGACACAAATTTAAAAATACATAGCTAATTAAAAAATATTAAGTTAAATATTGTCAATTTTAAATTATTAAATTAACTGTCTTATTCTTAAAAATTTAAAAATGCTAAATAATAATGTACTACTTACCCACAAATTGAACACGGAACACAGTTTAATATTATTAAGTAGGTACCACTTTACTTAAAATAATATTTCTACAATATTAAGTGTTCTACACATTTTGGAGGTCCATAAGAATATCCATGAATCTTGATATAACAACTATAGTCTGTTCATTTTAAGAAGCGATTCGGCGGCCACTAGTAAAACCGGTTTTCAAGCGTAAATCAGGTCGCTTCTTATTTTGAACAGGGTATAGGTACTATAATAATATATAACAGGTACTTAAATCCTTATGAATGAATAAAGAGTACATAATATTGTTGTGCCAATGGATATCATGAGAAATTCAACTTTCAACTGGTTCAGTATCAAGCACTGCCTATAATAATAAGCAACATAATTCATAAGTAATAGAAATATAAACAGAACATCATCGATCCGTTGAGGCGTTGACCGTCAATTATTATTATTATTTATTACGTTCTTTCAAGATATTACGGGAAAACACATGTAGTGTGTATAAATAGGCGAGATGGAAACCATCATAAAACCTAATAAAATTATAAAAGATAATAGCTGTTTACTGATTAATCTATAACATTATTTTACTCATTCCACCATTCTCCGCACTTCGATCACTTCGGTCGGACTTTGACATTTTGACAGTTTCAACTTTCAACTGAAATCACGGTTTAAGATAGACTTCTTAAACTATGACTGAAATGCACAACCATCGGCCGAGTGCCGACGGCCATCATACGCAATAGTACAGAGTACACCAGACGACAGACATGAGACTCCTGTGGGGATGTGACTTGGTTACACGTCTCAACTCTCAATGTGTCCAATATTAATTGATTAAGGGCTTCAGGCTGTGGTAGCATAGAATATTCTAAGTAATAAAATTTAGGAAATTGTGCAAAAATATTATTAGCAAATATTTGTTACTGTGTGAGTAGTAAATGAACCTTAGTGTGTGTAATCCATTCCATTATCTGGGCCATTATCGTGTTATCGTAAAAAAAAACCGTTAGAATCGGTACAAAATAGCTATAAGCGGAAGATTAGTGTATCTACTTCCCGATGTCCGATTATTATTTTAAAAATATGTATGAATTCATCATCCCCATTACTAGGTTAAGTAGGTAGGAAAAATAATTGATGTTTTATACCTGAATGTAAGTGTATAAAATAAAAATATTTTCATAATTTTTTTAAATTTTAACATATTTTTTAAGCCTTATTGAATACAAATCAATCAAAAATCTGTTTCCTACATAACCCAGAAAAGGAGATGATGAGTTCATACATATTTTTAAAATGATGATTGGACATCGGGAAGTACATGACTAATCTTCCGCTTATTGGTTAAAACTACATACAAATATGGCGTGCTCTAAGCCTCCAACAGCCTTATTAACAAAGTTACAAACGTACGTCGCTCGTCGTAGTGTCGTACAACACAACAACAACAACTAACAACTAACAAGTAACAACATTGGTAAATAGACATTTTCCCCCCAGACTGTTTTCGGTGTAGACGTGTAGTAGGACATTCCCCCCCACGAAATATTTTGATGAGGACATTTCCCCCCCATTTTTTTAAAGTTTATTATTGACTAATAATATTGAATTTAATAATATAATATTAAATTATTTTTTTTTTAATATAAAATATAATATGTAAGTTTTACAATGGTGTTCATTTTATTTTTTTATCTTGTATACGAAATTTCTACCAGAAGGAGTGCTTTGATTTCAACGTAGAGTATCTTATCTTTTAGCAAATTGAATCAAGGTAATACTTTAGAGAGGTCATTTTCTGATTTTCTCAATAATTATTTAATGCCACTCGAAAAACCACTGACAAATTACGAAAAACGGATTTTAATTTTTAACGTTTTGTTTATCACCATAAAAACGAATAAAAAATAATAATATAATAATATAAATATTATATAATATATATTATTATTATTATTATTATAAAATAATGTCAGAGCTGAGTGGAATGCTCTGTCTATT